GGGGGGGGGGGGGGATCCATGCCCTGCGGTGCACAAGTGCCACTGCTAAAGCACTGACGAAAGCACAGGATAACAAGGCTTCTGAAAGGAGATCGACCTGGTGTTACATGACCTGTGCGAATGTCTGCGCTAAGGCCAAGATGGTGCTCGCCGCTTGCGGAATGTGTGTGAAGTAGTCAGATACCTCGGATGCTGGCGGTGTCGGCAACAACGCACGCGGCATGGATTCTGTTTGCACACCATGCGCCAATCTGTCCGCCAGACACGCGAAAGATGTAGTGCGGGGTTATTTCATCTAGACATCAACGCTCCCTTTTTTGTTCAGGCTCGATGGGGACGTGTAGCTAACTCCCTGCCTGCTGTTTCTCCCGCTCGTCGTGTTGCTTTTGTCTCGCGCTTGCCGGTTGCACAACAAAAAACAGGCGAGGACGAGTGCCAAGAACCAGGAGGTCACGCGAACGACCGTGCATAGATTAGCGGAAGGCCTCCTCGATCACATCGTTCCGCAGGGCCCCACCTACGCCCTCAGAAGCTCCTCCAATATCAAAGGTTTGCGGCCGGCTGACCTATCGCCCGACGAACATGACAGATGCTGTTCGTGTCTTCTGTTTGTTTCTCGTTGCTGGTTGGCTCTCTCTCCGTTACAAGCTTGTCCGGTCGATTTTTCTGTGACGCCTCTTCACTGTTGTTGTTGCTGTTGTTGTCCTCACTTGATAAACCGTTCCGTGGTCTCCGCGCATTACTTTCCAGTATCCGTGCTGGTCCAACCGACACAGACGCCTTCTATGGTCGCAAGCCAACTACCCAAAGAGGGTTATACACCATTCTAGAACGAAAATGACATGCTTTTTTCTTTTTTTTATCTCCGTCCGCAGGGGAATGGCGGCTATCGGATGCCGAGAGCTTTCGGACAGTGGTTCCTGCGATGAAGGCCGCCGACCCGTCAGAGGTGAAAGAGAGCACAAAGCAGTCAGTAGTTTTGCAGCAACGATGGCGGATGGTGGATGCAACTCGTCTTCGATAGTGTTTATATATTTGCGCAATGCTGCGATCATTGTAGCGTTTTTCCGTGACGTCTCTTCCTGTAGCAGAGGATCACGACATGGGTGTACTCGTAGTCGTGCATGCCGTAGTCGTTGGACCATTGACCTCGCATCCCTACAAAGCCGGGACGGAGCGCGCCGGGTTCTCACCGGACCAGGCTCTCACATCACCAAGCGCGAAGCGCCGTGAGGAATTCAGCGAGTCGCATGAAGGGTGCGCTGCATCCTGCTAAGAGTGTCATATTGTGCCTACTTACTTGCGTACGGATGACAGCTGCGTATGACTTTATTAATTTTCTGGTGCTTTAACTTCCTGAGATAGTTGTAGGCACTGTGTAACTGCCTCGAGAGTGCTTGACCATTTTAACACAACGTGGTGCGATCATCCCCCTTGCGCGGAGTGAGGGTTCTCCACCCCGCGCAACATGACCTACTCGACCACCATTATGGTTACCGCCAAAGAAAAAAGAGGTCGAAAACAAAAACTGTAACCTGGTTGCCGAGTTAACGAAGTGAATTGGCTTGTTTTACAACGTCGTTGCCAAGCGACGAAAACCCAACCCCGATGGCAAACACCGGGGGGGAATCACGACATAGGATGGGTATTACCCACGGCCGTCTCCCTTCCTCATAATATTTAGTTCGGCCCCGTTATATTCGAAATTTGAAGAGAATAACACAAGCAACAAGTTTGGCACGAGTTGTGTCGGGAAATGCGAAGAACAGCGCGCCTAAACGCTGTCGATGTCTCCCCGGAAGGAACAGGAGCTCTCCAGCGCACGCAAGGATCCGCGGCGAGTAGCCAAGTTGTCGAGGCAAACACACCCCAATGAAAAAATGTACTGCAACCCCCTCCTCCTTTCTCCCAACTTTGACCAAGATATGTCTCGTAGGTGAAGGTGAAAGGCACCAAAGCCACGGAGTTGGTGGGGCGGAACACGTACGGACTCTACCCCCTTCTTACCTTTTGTTTCTCTTGTTCTGCTTGGCACCCAGGGAAGCGGGTCGAAGCATCGCCTGGACTTGAGGGACGAGACGATAGCCCCTTCCGACACCGAGACCGCTCACTTCTCTCACTCACATATGGTGCGAACACCGGGGCGTTGGCTCCGTCAAGAGTTCAGTGGGATTTTATCCAGTAGTCGCACGCGTCCCCAGCGGCTTATGCGCCAACGTGTCCCACGTGAACGCTCATATGTCTGTGTGCGTGTGTATGTGTTCCTTTTTGTCAGCATCAACCGCGGTATACGGCTGACCAATGAGAAGGCGTCCGGCTCACAGCGTGACAGCCAGTCACCTGTGTGTGTGCGTCTTGTGTGTGTGTTTTGAGGGCTTGCTGCCTCGTCGCAGCCGTTGCTCCCCTCATTTTCTCGACGATATTTTGTACGCACCTTCTCTTTGCCTCTCTCTGTTTTCGCCTGTTGTTGGCGCACGCTGCTGATGTTGTTGTTTGTTGGTTTTGGTGGCGACGGTTTTGTCGTCTTGCCGGATGATGATGGTGGTGCTGCTGGTGCTGCTGGTGCTGCAGATGGCTTCCCTTGTCCAGGCAAAGGGGAACCCGGAGGTCAGCATCGTCCACGGAACACTGAACGTCGGGGGTGCGGCCACCAAAAGCGGCGTTGACACCCTCTTCGAAGGTGGGCGAGCTACATGAAGCGCATTGCTGCAGGCGTGTGGTCGTAGTTTTGATTTCTACCCACGAACAGATGGCGCTAATTTGAGCGAGAGCGGGATGTCCATATTCCTTGCTCTTTGTTACGTTTTGGTTCGCACCGCCGTGTGGAGTAGGTGGAGCAGTCGGAGGCAGAAGGGAGCGGAGGGGGGGGGGAGTGAGCATCCTGTTGGAGAGTGTTGCCGGAATCAAAGTTGTCCTGTAGCGTCCACCATGGCCGCTTCATGCGAGTATGGATGGGGTAGGTCGTGTAGGGATCTCAACCCCACCAGTACACGATAAGAGTTGAACTGCTAGAGGACGGTTTTGGTGTGCCTCGCTTGAGCAAGGTACTACAGGTACAACACTGCCTGAATTACAACTTATCCAGGAACACAAAGAAGCTGCTGCTTCTTCTTTTGCTTCTAGAGACTACGGGCTCGCTGAAGTACAGTCGACCCCGCTTTAAGGACGCACATTGTTGTTTGTTGTTGTTTTCACATTAAAAACCGTTCCGATCTCTCTCTACCCAGTACCTTCGTATGTCCGTACTGATCCAACACTCGACGCGGTCGATTCCCGTGGTCGCAGGCTAACTTACCCTAAAAAGGTACACTCAAATAAAATGGCCCCGAGGGGTCCGCAAGTCAATAGAAATCAACGACAGATATTCTGGAGTCCTCCACTCCCTCTGCGCGCTATGCGAGGTAACAACTGAGACTAGGAGTCACCATCAGGGGCCGGAGAGAATGAGGTACACCCCCTTGGTTCAATCTTGGTACTTCACAACGCATGCAGAAACAACAAGGCCATCTGGCACAGAAAAAGAGAGAAAAAGAGAACAAGAGAAAAAGAGAAGAAAATAAAAGGAAACAGCAAGGAAAGAGAAAATGAAATACAAAGAGCGAGGACAAAAAGGGACCAGGCCGAAAATAACAATAACAAGAAATAAGAGACAGAAAAAGGCACACGGTGGAGAGACCACTAAGGACAAGCAAACACGCAAACATGGCCACCAACCAGCGATACATTGTAATGGTACGTCATCACTAGTGGGAGGTTGGTGCAATGGTGCAGCGTTGGGGGGGGAGGAATTGGCTAAAAGAAATTCAATCCGGCACGTATCGCGCCACTCGGTCCGTCTCTGTTTTCTTTTTTCCCTCGCCGTCTCGTCCGTCTCCTGCCCCCCTCCCGCCCCATTGGTTGGTGGCTTGTGGTTTCGTTTGAGCGCCCGTTGTCGGCTGGCCTCTTCTTCCTTCTCCATGTTTTTTCCCACAAAAAAACGTCCTTAAAGCGGGGTTGCGTCCTTAAAATCAGGGGACGATCGCTCACCATCCCCGGGGTCAATGAAGGCATGCTATACCTCAAACCACGCGTCTTTTGATAAGGAAGGGTGTGGTACGAAAACTCAGCATCGCCGAGACGAATGGCAACCGTTTGTTGACGTCGAACATATTTATTATAGAATGAGATGTAGAGCAGTCGGGGACGTCTTGAACACTACTACACACAGTACACAAGTTTGAACTTGGCCAACTAAGATACTGCTTCGCTGGCAGCGGAAGAAGGAGGAAAGTTGAAGTAGAAATATATTTATCTCATTCTCGTCAAACACATGACTAATGCAAAATATGTACATACGTTAAAGCGTGCTCGTGCACTTCCACTTCGTCGTGTACCGGCTTCGGGGCGCGAAGGGCGTCCTGGTTGAGCGCCATGTCGCGGACTTTCTCAAGCTCAGCGATTTTCTCCGGGTTCATCAACTTGCTGATGTACGAAGTACCGACGTTCCACTTTGCAGCAACAATGCTCCTCTTAGCCCCCCCCTGGACCTCCTTGACAATCTGCAATCGCTGCGTCATCGATAACTTGTTTTTGCCGGTGTCCCGTCCGGGCTTGGACACCTGGACTTTGGCGACACTACCTGTGCCATCCCCCGCGGCACCTCCGCCGCCGCCCCCTCCCGCGGTGCGTTGAGGCCGTTTCCCCTTCCTTGCAGTCTCTTGACTCTTTGCCCCCAGCCGGTTGCCTCGTCCTGCGCGACAAATTTTGCAAAAGACGAGGGAATTGTGACATGTCAGGGCAGGTTGTTGGCAAATACATCCACGTGAGAAAAAATTCCGTTGTGCCCAACACAACATGCGCTTTTTTTCTGTAGAACGACAGTGCTCGCACCTACCGCCGAGAGACTGCACGTAGGCCAGCAGCTACAATTTACGCTGAATAAAAATAAGACAGAAGAATATCACAACTGCGTCTATTTTGTATGTTTTTCAAGTGCGAACCGTAAACACCAGTCCTCTGAACGTACAAAAGTTCATTCTCTATCAGCGTTGAACAACGAGAATCACTTCGGCAGCGCGGCATGCGAACTGCTTCAGGCGCAAGTTGCGTGCCAAGAGATGCACAGCAGCAGCGAGAGTCTTTTCACCTGGTTTTTGACGCTCACTACGATTGCACACACACCGACACATATTGACGATCTTTTCTCATGACAAAAAAAAAACATACACACACACACGCAGCCTTGTGCGGACAATCTCAGTGAGTTTTCCTGGCGTGCTGACACTGCTGTTGTTTGGCAAGAATTATACGAAGGCAAGGACATGCAATGTAAATGTAACATCGTGGTGCACGCGTTCGGCCGATGACTGCTGCTGCTGCTGCTGCTGCTGCTGCTGCTGCTGCTGCTGCTGCTGCTGCCGCTTGCCNAACGAGAATCACTTCGGCAGCGCGGCATGCGAACTGCTTCAGGCGCAAGTTGCGTGCCAAGAGATGCACAGCAGCAGCGAGAGTCTTTTCACCTGGTTTTTGACGCTCACTACGATTGCACACACACCGACACATATTGACGATCTTTTCTCATGACAAAAAAAAAACATACACACACACACGCAGCCTTGTGCGGACAATCTCAGTGAGTTTTCCTGGCGTGCTGACACTGCTGTTGTTTGGCAAGAATTATACGAAGGCAAGGACATGCAATGTAAATGTAACATCGTGGTGCACGCGTTCGGCCGATGACTGCTGCTGCTGCTGCTGCTGCTGCTGCTGCTGCTGCTGCTGCTGCTGCTGCCGCTTGCCGTAAATCACAATCATCACCTGCTGCTGTTGTCCTCGTTGTCGCTACTGCTGTCCACCTCCATGGGACTTGTGCCGGTGCCGATCTTGCCTGTAGTCGTTCTCCTCTGACAATCTGTGCACTCTCTCTGCTGCCCGAAGCCTTCCTCCCGATTCCTCGGCCACAGAAGCCATGCATCGGCCGCCCGAATGGGTACTGGTGGACTGCGGTGATCAGTAGAGATCTCATCGCACGCGTTGGTTCTCTACATGTTTTTTTGGCGGCATCAGATGGACCGGCGGTCGATGGGAGGAATCTATCCATACCAACACCCAAGTACAGCTGCAGCAGCAGACCGCTCGCTACTTGTGCTGTCTGTGCTTCGCTACTTTTCTGCACTCACTGTGGTGCGTGGTGCGTGCAAAGAGCGGCCCGCAGGACACAAACAGGGGGTACGTGGTAGAAAAAGGGGGGGTAACCCATTTTCGTACATTCCGCCTGGCCCCCTGGTGCTCAGAAATTGTTTTCAGAGCAGGGAGTTTTCCTTGACGCGAGTGTCCTTAAAGCGGGGTCGACTGTACCGAAAGAGGGATGTAATTTTGTTCAGCCTTGATAAAAGCATCGATAAACGCATCATGTATCACGCACCAACACGATAAAAAAAAACAGGACTTTTCTTCCACAAGTTCGGCCACATGTCCGCCGTCGTCGGAGCGTCGGGAGACGAGCTTAAGGTGGTCTGGACCCCACCCGCCTCCAGCAGCATCGCCGCAGCTTCCCCGGGAGTGGCGGCGGGGGAGGCCGTACCTCCTCCAGCAGAGGCGGCGGCAGCTCCGTCACCGCCCAAGGTCGAACCGCTCGAGGACAACTCCGTCGGCAGCGGCGGCGGCGACCGATTGACCTCCGGGATAAACGAGGCCGACGAGGGCGGTCAGAGCAGCAACAGCACCGCCACCGCTGCTGTTGTGTCTGCTGCGTCAAGCAGCGGCGGCGGCAGCAGCAACAGAAGCGGTGACGCCGACGGCGGGAGCACCCTCCCCGTGGTGGTTCAGACCGCCACCGGCCCTCCTCCGGCTGTGGAGGAGACGGGAACAGAAGACGGCGGGGAGGGCGGTCGAGACGAAGCTGTGAAGGAGGAGGAGGAGGAGAATGAAGAGGAAGAAACGGGGGTGGGCGACACAAGAGGGCGGCGGGCCCTCGGGGATGGCGGTCGTGTTTCGAGGGAGGGGGGAGGTGCGCGCGTCGACGGAGGGTGGGAGAGCGGCAGCAGCCTTGAGCTTCGGGGCGGGGGACTGGGCTCCACGGAGCAGGCAGCAACAGTCGCGAGGTCAATGGGTGGCCGGTTGTGGAGGGAGAAGGAGGGGGGTGGGGAGGAGAGGGGGGTGGTTGAGGATGGAGCGGGTGTTGGCGGGGGGCGGCGACGGGCCCTCGACGGGTTGGAGAGACCAGTCGACTTGGTGAGGTGAGACCACTCGGTCAGTTGCTGGTGTTGCGGTAGGACGGGAGTGCGCAGAACAGCAGTGACAGCTGTGCGGTTGATTGATCCTGGATAAGGTGGAAGAGAGGGGTCTCTCTCGCTTTCTCTCTCTCTCTCACTCTCTCTGTCTGTCGACGTTTTGTAGATGGGATGCTGGTAGGCACAAGGTCGATCGCCGCTGAAATAGCGGCCGCATACGGTCTTGAAAGCAGTCAGGCTTTGCTGCCCCGTCATGGGTCATGGGTGGGGCTCGTGGCTGGGATGCCTGAGCCGGTGTGCACGTGTCTACCTACTGGNNNCAATGCCCCCCCCCCCCGGGATACAAAGACGACAACCAGCCTTGCGCGCATGGAAATGGGAGGAAGTCTGGCGCCCAGCTGTGGAGTTCTAGCACACACGCTGCCGTCGTCGCTGGCTGTTGGTCTAGCCCCGCCTTGCCGACGCAGCGACTTCGGCTAGCCGCGTTGTCCGGGTTTTCGAGGAGTTTTTGAAACTCTCCATGGCTGCGATATCCCCTCCACTTCTCCTGGCGTTCGGTCCTCGGTGCAGAGTCCGGGTAGAATCGTTTTCGAGAGCACTCCGAAACAGAGCACATCTTGCCGGGCATGCCTCAAGAGTTGATCGCCGTTCATGATCGGGGTTGTGCCCCCGAGTATTGACTTGACTGTGGCGACTCGTTGGTGGATTGCCGTGTGGGAAGAGCCACACGCTTGTCCGCTGGCAGTATCATCAGGGTACACCGAAAAGTGGTATCCTTGTATACAAGACCGCATAGATAAGGCCGCTCGTATCATGGTTCTGTTATGGTTGAAGATCAATTTGAGTCGTGCCCGTGAGTCCTCCGGTGTGCGGCAAGGCAAGCCAAATCCCTTGGCCCTTCTACGCGGCCCTTGTGCGGGGACCAACTACTGCTGTGCTAGACAAACGTGTGCCGTGGTACAGTGGGTGCTGTCAAGGTGGTCCCGCTACCAGCACAAGAAATTGGGCATCAAAGCGGCCCCCCCCCCCCCCCCCCCCCCCCCCCCCCCCCCCCCCCCCCCCCCCCCCCCCCCCCCCCCCCCCCCCCCCCCCCCCCCCCCCCCCCCCCCCCCCAGCGGCATCGAGACCCTCACATTTCCTCCCGCCCGTGTGTGGTGCAACCCTCGATGTTATCGTCACCACCGCTGTCCTTCCGTCGAAATGAAGACACCGAGATACTCCGCAGCGGCAGGAAGGGGACGAGACAGAGGCACCTCGCCACCGAAAAGAGACCGTCGCAGGATCTAGATCGTCGCTGCTGCCGCGACACCTCGACGATGGGGCGGGGGCGGCGGGGGCGGCGGGGGCGGTGGCCGAAGCAGAGCTGGACGCTCCCGTGACGGAAGAAGCCAGAGAAGGAGCCGATGAAGAAGAGGCGGGGGAGGCGGCGGCGGCGTTGGCGCGGGAGTTCCCGGCGATGGTGGTTCCGAAGGTGGCGGTTGCGGCGGAAAGTCAGGAGTCCGGCCCTTTGCCGTCCCAGTGGTACAGCCTTCGAAAGGAGTACGGCCAGGGCTGCCTATTCTTGTTGACCCTGCAGGTGCGGTGCGGTTTGGTATTTTTTAGGTGTGCGTCCGTGTGTGGTGGGTGACCCACCTGGTGGTTGGTTTTTGCCGCTGTTTTGTCTGGTGGGTTTGTGGTGAGCGCTGCCGGCTGCTGCTCGAGGACCGTGTCTCGGCGAATGACCGGATGCCTGGCTTGGAACCGTTTTGGGACTATCGTTCCGTGGGTCGTTTGTCGTTGGTCGTTTTGCCGGGATATAGAGAAGGTGCTTCTTATTGAGGGATTTTGTTTTTCCATCGCCCGACGTGACATGCGCGTTTCTAGCAGGCGGGTGAGAAGAATGCTGCATTTGTTTTCGTGCACTTCGTTTTATGTATTAACAGCGTGTGATCTTCTCCCCGCTCCCCTCCTCCGGCCCCTTCACCTTGTTCGACCAGTGGCCACCGACAACAGCTGGCATTGCGTGTCATTTGTACCTCATCATATACCGTTTTCGCGTGGCGTCTCTCTCTCTCTCCCTCTCCCTCTCGGTCTTCCTCTCAATCACTCTATCTGTCTGTCTGTCTCTCCCCCCTGTCTCTCTATGTGTGTATACGCGTTTTTTTAAATCCTAGACCGTGGAAGAAGACAAAGGTTGGAATGAAGATAGCTTCATCGGCGCGGTGGGGGAGAAGGGCGGCGACGAAGCGTCTATCGCACGCAAGCCCCTGGCGGACCTCATGAGGGGGGAGATGGTGGGGGTAAACTGTGACTTCTCGGCCGTCATCGAAGTCCAGGTAACTTTGTTTTTGTTGTGTGTCCTTGTCATAGTTGTCGTGGTTGTTTGGTGAGAGTTCCTTTGTTCTTGTTGTTGTTGTTGTGGTTGTTTCTGTTGGCGTTGTTGCTGTCGTTGTCACGAGTCGTCGCTGTTGCTGTTCATGATGCCCTGACGGTCAACGCCCATTCTAACCTCCTTCGTACTTGTTCCCGCAAGATAATTCACGCTGTACGCACGCAAGGTGTTCGCGCAGACCTCGCTCCCTCCCGGATTTTCGGCAAAAGCGCTGCCTGCAAACCCAGTTTTCCTTCTTTGTTAGTGCGTGCGCGTGATTCGCTCGCACTACAACTGCCTGTCTGGTTTGTTCGTATTGTTTTTTGTTCCCGGGAAACACACCAAGACAAACCATACCCGCGGAGGCCACTCGAGATCTATGATCCCTCCTGGACCGATAGGCCAGCTCTCGGTTTTCTCCCTCTCCTCACACAGTATGGAAACTGGCAACAACCCCCCTCCCCCCCTCCACCGGATTTCCATGCGTGGCCCCGCTGCACAACGACCCCCACTCACTCTCTGTGTTTCCTGCTGTGTTTGCGTGTGTTTGTACGTGTTCAACAACAGCTATCGCCGAGCACACTCCGGACGGCCCAGTCGCAGGCCGTCAGCTACTCGGTGTTGTTCACAATGGTCTGCGTCCTGCAGATGTGCCTCTTCTGCTGCCGGGTATGTATGTGTTGTGTATTTTTCTGCGCCTTTGACGGAACGTTAGTGAGCGGTACTAGTGTACTGTATGCTACTGGCAGTTGTAGGAGCGGTATTCCTCTCTCTCTCTTTGAAGACGCCTTCTCTGCTGCCTGGTATTGAGCTTTGATGGAACGGTGGTGCGCGGTACTTGTATACGGTACGGTACTGGCAGTTGTAGGTGCGGTATTCCTCTCCCCCCCCCCCCCCCCC